TAGACGTTCCAAATGTCTCGTGCTGTTTGAAGAGGCGGATCTTAAAATTAAGTGAACAATGCACTCGCCCAACGGTCGCACCGTCAACATATTATTGTTGATTGATTGTGTCGATTTAAATGTGTAAAAATGTAATGGTGTTTGAATGTTACTGGTTTGATCACACAAACTTGTCACGTAGGATTTTTTTTTTAATGAAACGAGGCTATTGGTGTACCTGTAACTTACATCTCTTTCATATCGTTCTCATCAAATGCATGTTTGCTTTATTCATTGGATCTCCTTTGTAATTCCTGCATTTTGGTTAATTCGGTATTATAAACAATTTATTGCATAATAGTGAGGGAGACATAAAGATTTCTTCGCAAATGAAAAATCATATTTCTCTCGGGCGTTGCCTTCGGGGAGTATGATTTTTCATGGGCGAAGAAATCTTCATGTTGCCCTCGGGGAATATGATTTTTTATGGGCGAAGAAATCTTCATGTCTCCCTCACTATCATGCAATAAATGCAAACTGTGAACTTGTCAATTCCGAAACACACAAAAGGGTATCGCTGATATCATACAGAGTGTATCATTGCCTTGATCAGGCCCATAGGAAGCAAATTCAGGGGTTTTTTTTTCTTTGGGGGGGGGGGGGGGCACAGCCATACATTTTCAGTTGACAGTTGAGGGGGCACTACTACCATAAACTTCCTGACAAGCAAAAAAAAAAAGGTCACCAACTACCAAAAATTCCTTGACAAGCAAAAAAAAGAAGGTTATCAGACGTTTTTATTGAGGTGGCACAAGCTATAGTATCTATGTCTATTATAGTAATCTATATATCGGCAAATTATTGGGGGGCACCCCCCTCCCTCGGTTCCTACGGCCATGTTGATTAAATTTAGGGTCACTAAGGAAAGAATGTTTTGACTGGATGAATGGTCTGAAAGAACATGTGTTAACTTGTCGAGTCGGTAACACATAGATGGGGTTTGCTTATAACCAGAGTGTGTCATGGTTTGATGCAAGGTCATTTGAACGAGTTCAAGGTCATCAACGGAGAAACAACATTCCTTAACTGTCTTTCTACTGGTGAGACATTGCAAGTTGATACCCTTTACAAGATTGCTTATAACCTTAGAATGTGGCATGACCTTGACTCAAGGTCACTTCTTCCTGTTCGCAGCTCCAACGGAAGACCTACTCATTGCTTTGCAACGAGCTCTGCTCTAGTTTCTTTACATATTTCAAATTCAAAGGAGTTTTTAAATAAGATTGCAACTCCTCTGCTGCTGCTACTGTTTGAACTAAACACCCCTTTAAATCCCCATTCAGTTTTCCAGATGGCTTGTGTTTCTGTCGTGCTATGTGTATCTATCAAGAAAGTAATATCAAATTTATCTCGACATCTATTAAAAATATCTCTACGTTTAATGTTATTTGAAGCAAGTCCCCGACAATTTTGGCAACCAATAATTAAATCATTCATATAATAACAAGAAGAAGATGAAGAGATTGTTAGTTATTTCTGCAGTCAGTTTGATGGTTGTTTGTATATACATGTAGACAGTTTTCATAGTGTAAAACCCTCCTGCATTCTGATATAAACTCCCTCCCATCCAAAAAGAAACTTCCGCTTTTTGAAGCCCTAGGATATTAAAAAAAAACATACGTTAAATTTACATATTTCACACTCTTATACTTAACAAAACGATAATATGAGCATATAATGTTTAACTCATAGATAAGTTAACTGTTTTCATTGGTGATTACAACTCAATCGTCATTCTTAAAAATAGCAGTGATATTTATCAATGAAAATGTAGGTCAGATTTCTCCACGTAACTGAGTGCATACACATCTGGTAAACATGGGTATCGGAGTCACTGAACCGGACGATCTATTTTTTTAGCATCACAAAGGGGAATTCTTTGATATATATAAGTTTTGTCCTACTTCTAACCTCTGGCGGCATTGCGAATCTTTCCTTTAAGAGTTTTGCCCTTAGGTCGCTTATTTCACGGGGGAGGTCCGGCGATACTCCATATCCTGATCCACTCTTTAATTTTTTAGCCCCTTCAAGTACCTCCTCACGTTCAATAAGGCTGTTAAATCTTACGATTATGTTTCTTTTTCCTTCTGGCCCACCCGGCAAGCGATGGACAGCTTGAAAAAGCACTCCATTAGCAAACGGCTCCTCAAACTTTAAAACTGTGTTCAAAAATTGTCTCACCTTCTTTTCCGTTTCTCTCGGACGCTCGTCATTTGACCCATCAGTACCGCGAAAGACCAGATTCCATTTTCTGCCCCATATTTCAAGTTTAAGTCGCTCGATTCGCTCACCTTTAAGTGCCTCTTTCACCTCAGGAAAAGATGTTTGATGAATGTCTGAAATGTCCTGATTTAGATTTTCACATGCAGTTTCCAGATCACTGACTCGTCGCTTTACATCCTGGATTTCTCCTCGAACACCCTTTATGTCCATGGACATGATAGTGAAGCATTCCGCAAGATCTTTTCCTTCAAATCGTTTTTTTAATTCATCCAGGGAAGCGTGATTATGATTACTAGATGGGCTTTTGTCCACTTCCATTTTAGGGTCGCTAAAGGTGAACTCCTTGTCCGCCATTGAGATCGTGCGTGACGGGTAGTAGTCAAATTATTAGGATAATATATTTAGCACCAGAGTTTTGCTTCCTGCTTATCACTCTAAATTTCTAACATAAATACAATTGATAATTGGACAGTGCACATATAGGCCAGACAAACGTGTGAAAGAGCAAATACAACTGGAAATATCCCAGGAGCTCAAAAATACCACTCACCCCACCATTTGTCAACTGGAAGTCTCAACAATTATATAATTGTACAGGTCAGTGCAGTATACAAAACAAACGCAGATACACGTAACCACAATAAAATGTAAACAAAGGTAATGTAAGGTAACCAGCACGAACACGGGTCGCCATTCCACGCCGATACCTGTGACAATAAAGCAGTCAGGTGTAACGAATGCGAAGAGTATACCCTGGTGTTGATGTATCATAGATATAATATCGAAAATGACTATTTACGAGTCATGTTTAGCTTTAATATGGGGCTCAAGAAAATTAACACACTTGTATTTTTATTTCTACCGAGTACCTGGGTACTCGATCGGAAAAGCATCCGAGTAACCGATTATCAAAAATTGACCGATTTGACATCCCTTATATATATATATATATATATATATACGGGATGCATTAAAAGTGACCTTTATAGAGAGGTGACCTTTGGATAGAGGTTCATCTTTTTTATAGGAATTTATATACAAATATGTCAGTTTTGTGTTTATATTATGTATTACACTACAGAATATAGAAGAAAATTAGGTACTGGGCATTAATGGTCTCACTTATATTTTTTTTAATTTTATTCAGTAGATGCATGACTTGAGGATGAGTTCAAACTAAATTTAATGAATCCAAGAAAATAAAATACCTCTATATTGAATCTTATAGGGTGTAACTGTTGCATTATCCCCCCCCCCCCCATCAAAACAACATTTTTTTTTTCTTGTGTAAGGAATGATGATTATTTTATGCAATGAATAAAATCAATCAAATTTTATTTTATCTAAACTTGATTCCTAAAATTAACCTCTGTACATGTATTTTTTTAAATACATGTACATGAATTATTGTTTAATAAACAGACAAGTCACTGTAACGTTACTCTCAGTTGATCAAAGAGATGCACAGGTGACCTGAGCAATGAAGCGTTACTAATCCCTTACGGTCATTTTCCTTTGTGAAATTCACGACAACTCAAGCCACATTGTGTATATAAACCATAATTATGGTTTGAACAAATGATACAAGTTTCCTAGGTGTGAAAATTAAAATGCCAATCATGGGTAAGAACATTTACAGCTCTCAGAGTTGGGCATGCGATATCGTAATTAATTCATACACTGTAAATGGGAAACAAAAATATCATATCCATTAATAGATAGATATTGTTACATTGTTTTTTTAAACTCGATTTTAAATCCAGAAGTACCTCATAATCAGTTATCGATAATGTTCGTTTTTTCCTGCTGACTTTTTTTGTCAATAGCATCGTTGTTCGAATTTTGTAAAATATAGAAGCAGTTAATTTATAAAATAATTCATATGCTTATCCAATAATATAACTGGTATTAAATAAAGTACATTTATTAATTTTTATTCATGATCACGCAATGCTTGACCAATTATTTACATTAGTAACAGAAATTGGGAATCAGCTGACTCTAGATCAGGTCACGTGATTGGACAAAATGGCCGCTAAAGACAGGGAAAAATGGCAATTTCGTTTGAAATTTGATGACTGCTGACTGCGTTACGCAGGTGACCGCTTAATAGAGTTACTTAATATAGGAAATTTCATTGGGAGGAAATAAAATGACCGCATAGGACAAGTGACCGCTGGATAGAGGTGACCGCTATGACAAGTTTGACTGTATATATATATATATATATATATATATATATATATATATATATATATATATATATATATATATATTTTATATTGTATTTCTACCTTGTACTTACATGTACATGTACATGTACACGTTGGTCTGCAAAACCTCTCTACTGTATTTCTCCATTTTCTATACCATATACCATGCCTGATCCTTACTTAATCATCAGAAACTTGGTTTTAGTTTAGATGCAATTACTAAATCAGTGCTTAGACATTGACAATTAGAATTTCATATCAATTCATTAAATCGTTTACAGTTTTTTAACTGACTGAAAAGAGATGATTTAAATATTCAGCATGAACATGTTTGAACATGTGTATTCGATCGGAACCTACTCTTTTTGAACCATGACATAAGGCACCAAAACTGAAATTATCACAATTTGTGAAAAGTTAAAATTTTATATCAAATTCTAAAAGAACTTTTGAAATTGTTTTTCATGTTTGACCCCATTGAAGCCTTTCAGTCTTTTGATGTTTTGCTTACTGCTGTACTTTCAGTTTATGAAGAGTCTCAGACATCCGTATATTGTGAAGTATTTGAGTGTAGCTGAATTGTCCACTGAACTTCACTTAGTTATTGAAAGATCCACACCACTTACATTTCTCCTAGACACTTTAGAACCTTTAGAAATCACTGCTGGAATTCACAGTGTAATGGAAGGATTGTCTTTTCTCCATGAACAGGTACAGTGCTTTTCAGTCCTTGCAAAAGATTTTAGACCATCAAACCTGACTGATGTACAGTGCATGGTGTCAGATGGGAAAAACTTTACAATGGATTAAATTGTTCTGTGTTTGGTTTTATGTTTTTTGCTCACCTGTGCCAAAGGCTAAAATGAGGTTTTTTGATTGAAAATTTTCTATTGCCTGTCTTGTCTTTGTCATCCCTGACTCGCTGTTGTCAACGTTCTCATTGTTATAAGTTTTCACATTTTCATCTTCTTCTCAAGAACCACTGGGCTAGAAAAGATGAAACTTATGTCAAAGCTTCCTGTGGTAGTGTAGATTGAAAATTGTTCATATCATAACCCCAGGGGGAGGGTAGGACCACTTTGGACAATCAAAGTTTTACATAGGAATACATAGGAAATATCTTTAAAATTCTTCTCAAGAACAGCAAAGTTATTAATAGTTATTAGGAAAGCAGTGATTCATTTTGAAAATGGTTATCATGGGTCCAGAGGACCCCTTTTAATGACAACAATGAGTCCCATGCCAAACTCAATGCATCCAAATCCAAGGGTACCATATCTAAGATATTACAGAGGAAATTCTGGTGAAATATAAAGGGTATTGCATGAAAGTGCAAATGTTTTATTGTAGCTGTGAGTGGTTTATACTTTTACTATCAATTGTCCAAGTAAGAGTACATGATTTTGTGTCATAAAAATAATATATTGTCAACTGTGCACTTCAGTTCTATTTTTAGATTGTACATACGGCCTCACACATTGTATCAGTCATCAGTCATAAAATGCACAGAAGCAGAATGAAGTAAAGAAAGTTTAAGAAGAAATGAAATATAGTCAGAAATAAAAATGATTAAATTTTATGCTTCTTAGCTTTTAAAGAAAAAACGAAAAAAAAAAATTATACAGTTTACAGCTTAAATACAAAGGTATACTATACGCTTCAGAAATCTTCCACAGTATAGATATCATCAGTGATAATTGGACTATAATGCTGTCTAACTTTCAAATATTTTCTGATAATTGCTTGTTAACTGCAATTGTGAAATATGACCTGTTGATGGCAACCTTATAGTTATACCTGTTAAAATTGTTCATGCATATCGCTTAGCACATGGATATGATGCAGTCGTTCAAGTTTTGAATCAGATTATACCGAAATAATTTAAAATAATACATGCCCTTCTATAAATTTATTGCGTCCATTGGGATGCACATTTATTGAAATAATGCGTCCTGAGCAAAATTTGTGCGTAATTTTCGCAGGACGCAGACCAAAATGAATCACTGTGAAAGCATCCTTAGATAATATTGATTCAAATTTGTTCAATGACCCAAGGGTGGCGTGGCCACTACTGGTGTTCAAAATTTTACTTAGGAAAAGATCTAAAAAGAAGAATCTTTATAGTTCTTCTCAAGAACAGCAAGTCATGATTAATCATATCTACATGGAGGCATCCTCAGGTAATATAAATTCATTTTTAGCTCTTCTGAGCCAAAGGCTCAAAGAGCTAATGCTATGGCCATTTGTGCAGTGTGCAGTGAGCATAAACTTTTTAGAACATGGGCCATAACTCAAGAACCCCTTGGCCAATTATTGTCAAATTTGTCACAGAGTATCCTTGGCCCAAGGGCTCCTGTTTGTACTAAAACTAGAGTTGTGACCCTTAAACAAGGGGAGATAATTAGGAAAATAGAAACAAAAGTACTGGTTGCTAAAAAATCTTCTTCTCAAGAACCACTGTGCAGATTATCACCAAACTTACACAAAAGGATGAGGATATGCTGTAGGTTAAAATTTCCATGAGGAATCGCCCTGGGGCAAAGGGTTTGGTCTCAAGGTCACTTCAAAGTTGACCAAAAATTACATTTTATTAAAATGTTGATATTTTGCTTACTATAAGGACTAGATCATCAAATCTTGTCAGTTGATGCATCTAAGGACCTCATATCATGTTGACTCAAAAGTAGGTCATGATAACCTACTTTTTAAGTTTTGCAGCCATTCTTTTTCAAAATGATTTAGGGGCATATTTTGAAGAATTTAAGGCCTATGATCATCAAACTTTGGAAGATGATGTATCTTGGGTCCTCGGAGTACATCAACTAAAAAGTAGGTCACCTTGACCTACTTTTTGAATTTTACGGCTAATCTTTTCCAAAACAGTTAAGGTCATTAATTCAAATACTGAGAGGTTTAGAATCGTTAAATCTTGTAAAATGATGCATCTTTGGGCCATAAAACATATTTAATAAAAAGTAGGTCACAGTGACCTACTTTTTGAACTTTGCTGGCATTCAATTTCAAAGCATTTTAGAGGAATAATTTGGACATTTTAAGGCCTATGATCATAAAACTTTGTAGGTTGATGCATCTTGGGTCCTCGAAAAAAGTCAACTGAAAAGTAGGTCACTGTGGCATACTTTTGAAATTTTATGGCTATATTTAAATATTAAGGGTTGGCTTAGAATCATCAAACTTTGTCAGTTGATGCATCTTGGGTCTTCGGAGTAAGTCTGAAAAGAATGTAACCCTGACCTACTTTTGAAAATTTATGGCTTTAATTAAATATTTCAGGTACTAATTGGCTTAGAATCATCAAACTTTGTCAGTTGATGCATTTTGGGTCATTGGAGTACGACAACTGAAAAGTAGGTCACCATGTCCTACTTTTGAAATTTTATGGCTGGATTTAATATTTTCGGGTACTATTTGACTTAGTATCATCAAAATTTGTCAGTTGATGCATCTTGGGTCCTTGGAGTAGGTCAACTGAAAAGTAGGCCACTGTGACCTACTTTTCAATCTGTATGACTATAATTAAGTATTTCGGGTACTTATTGCGCAAGTGATTTAAGGCTAGGTATAGGCGTTTTTATGCAAATGAGCTAATAAAAATGCAAAAGAGGTATATTTATTATACAGAGTAAGCTTGAATTCATTTTCTTATACATACTTAGTTCCCAAGGCATGTTATAGCTAATGCATATTATGACGTCATTGTTCTTTAGTACTCAAAGTAATAAAACACACCAGCAAATGGCCTTGGTGCAAGGGCATACCCTATTTAATTTTAAGTAAATAATGTATAATTCTGCGAAGAATATTCTAAAGATTAATAAAAGTGCTGCACAAATCCTATGTAATTTCTCGTTTGATAAAAATTTGAGGAAACTTACGCTGGACTGTGATTAAACAATTGATCTGTCAACATTTGTGCAGCAATATCACAAATCCTTGGAATATTCTGCTTCTAATTAGACCCTGTTTCTGTAAAAATAAATTGGGTATGCCCTTGCGCCGAAGCTTTTTTCTTGATGTTCTTTATAACTTTGTGTAGTAGAGAGCAATGACGTCATAATATGACGTCATAATGTGTACTGGCTATCACTTGTGTACCAAGTTTGCATTAGAAAATAAGTTTGAACCTTTTCTGTATAATAAGTAAAGCCCATATGCGTTTTTATTAGTTTCTTTTCATAGAAAAGTCTATACTTAGCCTTAACTCACTTGCGTGGCTTAGAATCATCAAACTTTGTCAATTGATGCATCTTGGGTCCTTGGAGTACGACAACTGAAAAGTACTGTAAAATCGCTTGTATTGGCCGCACTTTTTTTCTTCAGCAAATTGTTTAAAATTAGGGATGCGCTTAATACATTGGAACAAAATACAACCCCCTTTTTTCCAGGTCACTTTCTCAGTGCTGAGGACCATTTTCCCGATCCATTTGAATTGATTACTCTTTGTAACCAATTACGTCAAAGTTTATTAGTCATATACATCAGCCCTACCTGTTGTAGTCATATACATCTACCCTACCTGTTGGAAAAAGATAATCGTTTCATAAATAAAATCATAATGAAAAACAATCTTTGTTTTGTTTTATTTCCATTGCATATTCCGCCATTTCATATACTTATATCATAAACAAGAACTGCATGTCGCTTAAGACATAGATATATTAATACCTATAAATGAGTCAACAACTATAATCTTTGTGATATATTCTGAATTATCCTTAATTCTGTATTTTATTTTTATTTTTTTAAATTTCAGATAGTTAGAGGTGCAAATCGTTAGGGATTCTATTGTCACGTCATTGCTATATATAACTTCAGTCTATGTTGTCACATAGGACAGGATGACCATTGTTTATTAAACAATTATCACCTCAACAACTGCAATGAAAGCAACACGTTTTTTAAAAGAACTCTATTAAAACATATTTCAGTCGGAAGCACATATAAAAACATATTTGTAAAATACAATCAAGCACATTCAAGAAAATATTCATAAGACATAGATATTAAAATGTTCATTTAAGCACGTCATCATGGTCACAACACTGATTGTTCATTGCACTAGCTAACTAAAATAATTATCGATGGATACCAAGAACTGTTTAATTACCCAAAGCCAAACCTTTGACACTAATATCGCTTGGGTATGATTTTTGTTTACGTAAATACTGACATGGCTTGTCGTGCATTATACCGGTAAGCATGACTTCATAACATGCTTGGAATTAATTTGAAAAGAAAATAATCAGGTATTTCTTTTATTATCTCTGGTTAAATAAATTATTAAAAAGATTAAATTAAAGATTATGCACATTTACAATATGTAGAGTAAAAAAGCTGACTTGCTACTTTCGTTTGAGATTCATAAATTTTCCTACTTTTATCTTAAGTTACTGTACTAAAAATTAAAGTCACATCCAATTATGCGTTTTTGGGATTTTACATAGGACCTGCATTTTTTTCAGGATTTTCACCCCAACTTTGGGGGTGCGTCTTTTACACCATTGTGGCCAATACACAAGACTTTACGGTGACCTTTGGCTTAGAATCATCATAATTTGTCAGTTGATATATCTTGGATCCTCGCAGTAGGTCTACTGAAAAGTAGGTAACCGTGACCTACTTTTCAATTAATATGACTATAATTAAATATTTTGGGTACTAATTGGCTAAGAATCATCAAACTTTGTCAG